TTTAGCATAATATAGCTGTTCAACTCTCTCTATGTAGAAATTTCCTGATTCTTTGTGAAATTCTTTCCACTTGCTTTTTAAAGATTTTTTTCCCAGAAATCATATGTATTACAAAGCACTGAAAAGTTGTTGACTTTTTGGTATCATTTTAAATAGGAAAATGGTATTAACCTCTTTGCATCATATTTAAAGATAAAACTCTAGTACTGTAATTAATTATATATAATGGCTCTGTTTACCTATATAGAAGAAAAAATGAGAAAATCAGCAATATGTAGAATTGCTGGAAATAAGACATTCAGCAATTTGGAACTGGTAATAAAAGATACAGAGCCTTTTTATTTTCCTCTTGGAAAAACTCTGTAATGCTATTTCTTGATTTTTTTTTCAGTCCTTGAAACCAAGCCCAAATATCATTTTTCACCTCTTTTAAAATCATTTTAAGGTGACATTCAGATACTTGGTTTGCATCTATGCTGTGTAATAATGGTGTTAATTTGAATGGAATACATATGCAATATGTAAATAGTTGACTCAAGGCAATTGTTCCATTCACATGAACGGACCTTTTAAGCTTCTCTGCCCTTTCTGCCCTGTTGTTGAATAAAATAATAAAGAAAAGATCCTATTGTTTTTTTGTATGTGAAGTCTAACTTAAATGTATTTGCTGAACCAAGAGAATTCAGTAACTTATTGCTGCTTAAGTAGCTTAGTACAATATCTATAAATAAACGATTGAAAGAGCAGTGCTTTGAGGAAGGGTGTGTTGAAGTTAGACTCTCTTTAATGTCTCAACAACAGTAGGATCTTTCCCAGACATGCAGCAAGAAGTCTTGCCACTGATGCAATGGGGTACAATTAAGTTAGACCTTTTCCCCTCCGACTGTGCTGCCCTGAACGCTCACATAGCAAGGAATTCAAGGTTTTAATTCAAACCACCCAGCAGATTTTCAGGTAGAACCCATGTTAAGTGAGTCCAGTCATTTAACTCAGCACAACAAGAGACATTAGGCAGAAATCCAGTCTCAATAGAACACAAACAGAGTCCAAAGTCAGGATCAGCTTGTGGAGAACCTGCTCCTTCAATTGTTAGGATTCTTGCCTCAAGCCAGTTCTTCACTACCCTGAAAGCTGTCTTTTAAGAGAAAGATACTTTATAAGTTTGCAGGTCCTCTTCTTAGAATATTTAAGGAGGATTTTTATATGTACTATGTTCAAATAAATGGGTAAAATAATGTAAGGATATGGGTGAAAAAGTGCAAAAATATTTTATTTATGCATGTAGTGCCATTGGAGCATTATTATTTTTTTGTTTCTGTAAGATATGTGGCAGCTCAGGTGGCATAGTGATTCTATGCCCCCTTTCCTAATCTTTGTAACTACAATTGGTAGAGGACAAGGCAATCATAGATCTTTTTCAAATGCTTTGAAATATTAGGAATAGAAAGGGTGATGGTGTAGAAATGTCTTTAGAATTATTTTAATTTAAGGAATAAATGGAGTAGAGAATACTGATAAGGATTACTTAGACTGCATTTTTCAACAAATAACTCTTCCTAAGTTTGAATTCCAAATGAATGCATCCGAACCTTTCTTTTCCCATAACAATTTAAAAGCAACTAAGAAGATATTCTTGTTTACCATTCGTAGAAATGGTACTGTAGACTGAAATCTTCAATAAAAATATGTCTCACTAGGCTGTCGTTCACTGGCTTGGCTTCAGAATGGAGAATGTCATGCTAATTTAGCTAGATATTTTGGGGTTTTAGTTGTGATTTGCTTCATTACTGTTATTTGCCCAGGGATTAACTGAATAAAAGTTCTCAATACGCTATTTCTTAAAACCATCAGCATACTATTTTCTCAAGAGATAATAATTTTGCTTAGTATGATGCTCTAGAAAATCTAACAAAATATTGAAATGAAAACATTTAGGCTTGAAACAGTGAAGGAGACAAACTTCATAGTTAAAGAAAGCAATGGTGTTTGTATAGTTTGGAAAAATGTGTTGGGTCTGTTGTTTGGCTGCAGAGAAACACGTACAAGGTGGTAAAAATGTCAAGGTCATAATGTTCATAAAAGTCTCTTGACCAGTTAGGAATTTTTATTAATTCTTTAAATGCAAATACCATGGCACTGTGGACAAGTTCCATACCTCCTGCAGAGCAAAAGGTGGAAAATTATAATTAGCTTTTCAGAAGTGAATGTTACATACGAAGCACAAGAAGCCAAATTTTTTTGTTTAAAATCTAAATACAACTGTATCTCTTAAATTGAGAACTTTCCAGATTATCAATATTAGAACATCTTATTCTTACAGTAAAAGTAAAAGACTTTTGGGGCCAACAAGATTTGCTCTTGTTTCAGGGATGCTAAATACATTTCTTCACTTTTCATATATCAAAAGAGAAGAATACGTATTTTTCCGCTTTGACAATTTAATGTTATATGTATTCCTGGAATTCTTATTGAGAAATAACTAGTTTTCTGAGAGATCTAGCAAAGGTGGTTTTTCTATAAGCCTCTAACTATTTAAACACTTGTAGAATAGGAATGAAATGTGCTATTTGTCTGAAATTGATACAGAAAGGGAAAAATTCTTTCCCAAGTGGTTCTCCTCACAAATGTTTTTCTGGCTGTTGAGCTTATATAAGGGAACACTTCTGTACCTAATTGGCTATCCCTAAACCTATCTTAATCTTTTTGCTTAAAAAACAGAAAATCTTAGCCTTCCAGGAGGATGTTAAAAACTTGGCTTTTTCCCAAATAGTAGAGCCAAGATAAGGAAGTGCAATATATGTATACATTTTAACATTTAACCATAATCCTAAGAAAGCTAATAGGGTATGCAAAATTCTTTTTCAAGATACTTGTTTCTGCATATTTTTTTCAAGTTAGGTGAAATGAACTTTTAAAGCAAATTCTGTGGCATAAATCGTACTGTCCTAAGAGTTAAATTGCAATTATCCAGGTAATATGAAGACTAGAACAGAAGTGGGTTATATGCAGTGTACGGTAATAATTAAATTCACATAAGAGTCAGATAAATTCTAGCATTAAATCACAGCTAATATATATCAAAATAACTCTTGGCTATGAAGTACTTTATATTACATGCAAAATTAATAATCTCCTTGATTACAATGCATTAAGTAGTTTGTATAAACACAAGCACATATCCATCTTAATTCTTTGAATAATTGGGTGAATTGGAGGCTATTTATGTTCTGTTTTGCATTTTCTCTATATTAAATTGCAAACCATTATTTTAAAGTAAGAATTGCCCTGAGTGAATCAGAAAAGTTCTTTATAAACAAACTAAGAAAGAGAGTAAATCAGTGGCTATTAGAAATGTGGTCTTTGTCTGAACTTTCTCATATTTATTGAAGAAGTTGTTATGTTTTTGCACAGTTCAAAAAAAGAATCAAGATGGAAATTATTGCAATAAAATATTGGTAAAGGAAAGGTGATATACCCCCTTAGCCAGAGGTGGTATTCAGCAGATTCTGACCAGTTCTGGAGAACTGGTAGCGGAAATTTTGAGTAGTTCAGAGAACCAGCAAATCCCACCTCTGACTGGCCCTGCCCCCATCAATTCTCCACCTCCTGAGTCCCAGCTGATTGGCTGTGTCTTCTTTGGTTGCCCTGCACTGGAGAATGGAGCTGGAAAGCAGGTTAGTAGGGTGGGGAGGGAATGGGGATTTTGCAGTATCCTTCCACTGCCACTCCCACCAAGCCACTCCCACCAAGCCACACCCACAGAACTGGTAGTAAAATATTTTGAATCCCACCACTGTCCTTAGCCTTTGACTCAGGACAAAGCATAAGATAAATGGGAAGCAAAGTAAGCAGGAGATGGTACTTTTTCTTGCTTGACATTGCAACAGGAGCCTAGCATTTCGGTCACAGTAGCAGCATATTTAGCTTCAAAATCATGGCATGCTAAATATTTTAATTTCTAATCTTTTGCTTTGTACAGTAGATTACAGTGTACTAATATTTCAGTATGTCTTGAAGTTTTTCCATATATAGAATATTTCCAGAAATATTTGCCTACTTGTTTTTCTTTCTATGGCTCCCCACCCCTCTCTCATTAATGTGGAACAGTAGTAAATATTTCCTTACTGAATTGTGGGAAAAGACTTGACCTTTCTGCAAGGTTAGATTTCAGAACTGAAGAAAACCAGTAAGAAAATATAGAAACTCTGAGTAGCAGCAAGTATGGTTGCTCATCTCTTCAGTGTGATCTTTAAAGGTAGGGGGTAATTCTAAAAAAAATCACTTGACTGTATTTAATTGAATATCTAAAAATATAGGCTGCAGATTTGTTCCAAAACTATCCGTTATTTATGGCAATCTTAGCTCTCCATTTAGATACTGTAGTAGAACTAGATTTTCCGTCATTTTTAGTAAAAGGAAGATATAGTCCTCGGAAGTAATTATATTAAAATTCAACCTTGTTCATATAATTTCCCACTGAAAACTATCTGGGCACTTGCATATTTGCAAGGCTGAGATATGCACCCAAACATAGTCACTTGAATGAAAGATGATAATTGTCAAGCAAGTGTAAACATCCTTCACTTAATTGCAACCTAGAGAGGAGCAAACCAACCCTTCACAGAAAGAGCAAGTTACTGCAAATAATTTTGTACATTTTTTTCTTGATTAAAATTTGAAAGATCATCTAAATGACTATAGAAGAGCAATTACTTATAGATAACTGTGATACTATGACTGTGACCGTCATATATTACAGTTAATTTCAAGCAGGAACCTATAATACTTGCATTTAGTCCTACAATACAAATAAGACTGCAGTCCTGTATACATGTATCTTAGTGTAAGGTCTGTGAGTCTCAGCAGGACTAATTTATCTGTTAATGGGTGTATATTTGTATGTAACCATCAAGTGTACAAAGCCATGGATGACTGTTTTATTTACATTGTATGGTGCCTTTGCCTTTATTTTTTGTATGTTCAT